ATGTATGTATGTATGTATGTTATATGCATGTTATTATATATACACATCCCTCTATTTACATGTATTCTAGTCATATTGAAGATCGATTTATCAGCCGTTTGGGTGAACTTTTGTGGAGACGAAGCCGACACGTGATTGTGTCGATGTCTATTGCGCTCTCGTTAGAAAAGCTGGATAAACATAGGACATCCAGGAGGCCCAGCGGCTCTTCTTAAAAGAGACCTTAAGCTACCAGAACGTTTTTCTTACAAGCAGCGGTTTAGGGTTTAGGGTTCAAGGTACCTCCAAACTCACGGGGGTCTTCAGACGTCTGCGGCCCGAGCTCAAGACCTGAGCTCCAAAACCAACTAGTGCATGGGCCTTGATAATGCGTGAGAAGAGGGTTTAGGGTTTAGAGGCCTAATTCATTACCATTACCAATACTTTTGGAGGTGCCTTAATAGTATAATATACCTTCAAAATCCTATTCTAATTATTAAGGNNCCTACCGAAGCCTCCAAAGAGTCCGGAAGCAGGGGTATGGGTTGAGGGTTCAGCGTTCAGGATAACGCAGGTTGCGAAACTTTGTCAGCCTTTTGTAAGTCAGGTTGCCCTGTCCAGATGTTGACTTGATATGGCTGTTCAGGGTCTTATGTAACAGTTCAACGTATTACCATGGTTATGGTTATCACTATCACTATTGTTGTTGTTGCTGCTATGATAAGTATTGTTCATAGCTCTTTGATTATCATTACCTTTAGTGGGTTTATGGGGTTAAGGAGAACCCTCCCCCCCTCCCCCCCCCCCCAAACCCAACACCATTCAACCCTAGACCCTAAACCCTAAACCTCCGTTAATCTCCCCTAAGGCCCAAGCCCTCAAAGAGGTGCCCGGCTGCGCTCGTGGTTGAAGAAGGAGTCAGATCCGGCCACGGACACTGATTCGTCTCTTTCCTCGTCGGAATCTCACGATCTTCTCAGCAACGGTGGGAACTAACACACACAGCTAATGCATAAAATAGGGGATCGAACAATTGCCGATAATGTATTCCTTAGGGTTCCATAATACACTTCAGGTTGAACTACAGTACAGCCCGACATCCGATTCTGATTTTGCGCTTGGTATGAGCTCTGAACCTACTTGGTAACATCCCAACACATCGACCGCCACCTGGCGTTCGCAGTTGCATCTGCCCCGTGTCTTTCCCCCAACTGCGGGCCGTCGACGATGCCCAAGCCCAAAGGCTCCATGTACCTTTATAGTAGATATACTTAGGCCTTAAAGGGGTCCCTATATAGGTACTTTAAGGCCTAAGTATCTACTATATGGGTACATGGAGCCTTAGGGAAGTACATGTTCATGTGCTCATGCCCACTTCCGCAGCCCTGAAATCCCGGATCATGTTGCGAGCGTATACATGCTCGTGGTGGCGGTGGAGTTGCCAATGTGCAACTGTGGCGGAGCACTACCATGTCGCGAGCACTGTGTTGTTGAAACCTTGGTTCAAGTTACTCGATAAAGCCGAAACCCCTTTGTTGGTGTGAGTTGTTAGAGAGTCGAAGCCCCTTAGTCTTAGAAAGCAGGCTTCGTAAATCTGGGACCAACACACTAGCATCCAAACCCGAACCCCCTAAGCCCTATAAACCCTCAAAGAAACTCCCACTACACCCCCCGTCCCGGACGAGACCCCCAAGCCTTAAACCTCAAACCTCGAAACCTGCACAATTGTACCCTTAAAACCTACCCCTTCCGGGCTCAGTACCATGACATGATTATATGTATATTATACAAACTCTATATATATATATATGTCTCCTGAACTTGAAAGCTTGATCGACTGTAGCTTTAGGAGCTGTGTTTCGGGATGTGGGGCTTCGGATTGTAGCGTTTAGGGTTTGGGGTTTCGACCTCGCTCAAAGAGGGTTTTGGGTATAGGGTTTCTTTGCCTGGCGTGACGTTGCAAGCCAGTTGAACAAGGGTTTCTTTGCAGGGTCTTGGGGTCTTGGATATGGTCTTGGCGTTTAGGCCTGGACCTCTCGAGCTGCGATTCGGGTCGTGCTGCCCTTACATATGTATCTCGATTCACCGTCAAATCGTAGGTCTTAAATCCCAGAGTTCTGAGCCAAACTCTGAACCGTTCGGGCCTTTGCTGTTTGCAGTGTTTCGGCAAGGAAGGTTCAGACGTCTCAAGGAGACAAGTGCCAATTCAGTTCGGAGCCCAGACACAACCCTAAACCCTAATTCCCTAAATCCTAAACCCGAAACCCTAAACCCCAAAAAGGGACAGGTTGCGGTTACATCGGATTGCTGGCTGTGGTAAAGGTCCCTTCCGAAGCGATCCAAGACAGTGGGGTCGATCTCCGAACCCCTGAACTCTCAACTCTGTGTCTCTGGGCTGTCAACATAGTGGGGCCGTGGTGTATTCCTCAGAGTTCCTCAATATCAGCATCAACATTCATATTAAACTTATATATATATATATATAATATATATAAAGATACCTGAGTGTTTTTTGCCTTGAACCATTTTCTAGGTATCGAGGTCCTAGATTAGCTTGTGCCTTGGTGCATGTTCTTGCATGGAATGAGCCGGTCGTGCAGCTTTGCAGCTTGAGATAGGACCTCAGGCACGACAGGGGCTGCAGTGTTTCAGAAGCATCATGGGTTTTGGTTTTGGGTCTTCGGCAACCTACACCACAGGCACGATGTCGGGACAACTACATGGTTTAGTAGTTGACTTTTGAAAGTGAGATGGCCAGATGTCGGTCGTCATCGAGGTACACGACGCCAGAGGCCCTGGCTTTGCACGACATCGTAGCTCCCAACCGCTGGTGCGTCACGCGGTCAGACCTGATCTATTTGCGGCATGAGGTTTGGCGCGCCATCCAGTGTGGGGAGATTCGTCCGTCCGATGACAGTGATCCTTTTGAGCCGTCCGACGATCAGTATGGGCCAAACATCCACACGGTCAACAGGCAGTACATCATGCCGGTGACGGATGAAGCCGGCAAGGTCAGCTGGGCACTGATGCGGCATCCGGACGGCTTGGACTGTGACTTGTTCATCAGCCATGCCTGGCAGGAGGGTGTTTTCGAGTTCCTGTCCAAGGTCTTGCATTCCTGGCCGTCGGGTTCACGACACGTCTGGTGCTGCATGCTGGCCAACCCGCAGAATTTGGACATAGGGTCCTATTTGCTATCTCCTGGCACGTCGCCCTTCGCGCGAGCACTCCAGGCCTCTACCTGCGTCCTTGTGGTGCCCAACCGCCACTGCAGCATCTACACCAGGCCGCGGTTAAAGCCAGGTGATGTGAGCAAAAACACTGGCCCCTACACCCGACTTTGAAGGAAATGCAGTCCCCTGAACCCTAAACCCCTCCTACTTAGCAAGGACGAGCCCGCATCGCACGGGGGAAAACCCAAAACCCTAAACCCTGCTCCCCTCGACCCTCTTAACCTCGAAGTTTGACTTCTCCTTCTGGGGGTTCCTTATTATAATTATAGTATAAATATACCCCGAAACCCTATCTCCAACCAGGCTCTGGTGCGGCTACGAAGCCTACCGCGCCCAGGAGGAGGGAAAGACAATCTTTATTGCCAGAGTTTCTTAGCTCGCCAAGCATAGACCGGTGCAGGCTTTCCCTGTAGTCGCAATGTTTGGGGTTCAGGGTTTAGGGTTTAGGGTTTAGGGTTTAGGACAAAAAACCCCAACAAAATGGCAGGTTACGACCCCTGAACTCTGTAGGGCCCGGTATCCCGTGTTGAGACAGTTGGCTGTGCCCCCTTAATGATACTAGGTAGGGTCTGGCCCTTGCAACAGTAGATTTTTGGATATCTGGTCTGGGCTCTTTGCAAAAGGCTTTGTTTAAGGAAACAAAAACAGAATAAAGTTGTTGCTGTTTTATTTTGTTTTTGTTTCTTTATATTTTTTGTTGTTTTACTGTTTGTTTATTTACGTACCAGTCTGACAGTTGCATTGCACCGTCGAGCAGTACTCGACCCCAAATCCCTAAACCCTGAATCCCCAAACCCTTCTACTTCCCTACTAAACCCGAAACCCTCAGCCCCTAAATCCCTAAGCCCCTATAGCTCCTAAGTACAAGGCTTCAAACAACAAGCACCTGCGCCATGCCATCATCTGGGCGAACCTCTCAGGACTTCATCTGGGGCTTCGGGGGTTAGGGTTTAGGGTTCAGGGTTCAGGGTTCAGGGTTTAGGGTTTAGGTTTAGGGAACCCTCAATACAGGGGTGAGATTAAGTACTTGTACTGAACCCTTATAGCCTTTTTTCTTTAGGTTGCATGGAAGCCTGTTTATTTACGACTTCGGGACTGGGAGTATGGACGAGGGTTTTAGTTTTGGGCTCTGTATTGATTCTACTGGCAAGCCTCCAGGAAATCCGGAATTTTGTGGCCCGGGGTTCAGCTTGAGGCCAAAACCTCGACTCATAAGCCCTGAAGCGTACTTCAACGAGCAAGATAAAGGGGGCCCAAATAACTACCTACGCGTTCTTGGGGGGTCCTTATTATAGTTCTAGTATAATATACCCCCAAACCCTATTCTAATTTTTCAGGCCTCTGCATTAGCTTTATGAATAGAGCAAGGAAAAGCAACGTCAAGTGATGCGTTTCCGTTTGCGCGTATAGGGCCCATAGTGCTGATCACAGATTCGGTAACCCTTTACAGTACCCTGGGGCTCCACTTACCCTAATGGTGAGTTACCGCTGACCATGTAAGAAATAGACCCCCGTATAACCCATCATTTAGGTAACCGGAGTACGCCAACAGAAGACGGAACTGTCTGCAGGACTTCTGGGCATGATATTCGGTGGCTTTGACGTTCATGGTCTCGTTGTTAATTCAGGCCTCAGTTCGTTGGTACCGATTGTACAAGTCTGTATACGTCGGCTGGCCTAGTTCGCGGGATAAGGATTAGTTGAGGTACAGCGCTCTAGATGTCCCAAAGAAATCCAAAGAAGACATGCATGCGATGAGCCAAGGCTTTTGTTCGCGACACATCAAGATCCAGCCGACTCCCTTGTACGTCGCGGTGGCCGCCGCATGTATCAGCGCCAACATAAACCACAATAGGTGTCGCAGGCTCTTGAACAGGATCGGCGCTATGGCCGTTGGCATCATTATCATGCATTGGCGAACAGTAGAATTTGATCCTGATGATGACGGCATTGAGGAGGTGCCTGCTTTCGCGGCCTTTGTGGAGCAGCGGTTGCTTCTACTCGCTGGTTTGACTTTCTTCGTGCTGTTGGAAGTGGACCGCGTCAACGGTGAAGCCAAAATGCAAGAAGCCAAGCATCTCAGCTGTGGGTTTTCGGGCAGCATAGTGCAGGCAAAATGTTCGAAGCAAGTTGACGCAGAGCGGATCTTCGGAGAGATTGGAGAGAAAACCGTCGACGTCGACTACGCCATCCATGTGCTTCTAGCTGCAGGGATGTCATCGCCAACTCTTCGAGATATTTCACATCGGGGAATCGATGTTCGAGGTGCCGGTCACGCCGAGATCGCTTTTCCTTTCGTTGCGCTCGTGCCGCTGGCGTGGGAAACTTTATGGTCTATTTATTGTGACTTCGTCTACCTTAATAACGATATCAACCTAGAATCCATCCCTCTCTGGTTCTGGGAAAGCATCACCGTTCTGGCTCGTCTTGGCCTGCTCTTGCTTTTGTGGAAGAAACCTCGCGATGAAAGATGTTTCATCTTGAAAATGATGTCGAAGATCGTGGCAGTTTACCTGGTTATCAGCTCTCCTCTTCTTGCCGCATCTGGTTTTTCTCAAAGAACTTACCTACTTTTAATTACCATCACTAGGATCTATAGTAAATAGTATGGCTTCCTTTGTATGGTAGCCTGAATAACGGTCCCAAACAAGAACCAAGGTATGGGAGGCTCAAGCTAACAAAGTTTCACCGGATCGGAGATGGTTTGCGTTGCCCCTCACGGTATACACCAGCATGCTGGGACTGGCTTGTGCCCGGGCCTAT